AATTCATCATCTAATAATCAACGAAAACCACAATGCACCTGTCTTTCTAGTAAATTAGGAACTTTAGATAAGAGTGATTACACTGCTGACTGATTACATGTAATCTGGATTGTGTAATCAGATTCCAAAAATTAAGCACCTCAACTTCATTTTACCTAAAATATTTACTTGAAGCCCCTGAGATTTTTAATTAATATTTCAAGATCAACACATTTGCATGTTCACAATTTTGGTTAATAGTCACACTGACATGCAGGTAAAAAAAAAGTATTTATATTTTTAAATTATGTATTCATTTTAATTTGACATTTTATGATTTATTTAAGTATTAGCCTTTAGTTCTTTCAGGAAGCCCAGTTTGGGAAACCCTATAGCATAATGTAAGCTAATGTTTAATGCACTTCATGATGTTGATAACAAAGAACAAATATTTTCTTTATTTTTTAAATTAATTGGTGCACCATAATCCCGTTCAAATCTATGTGATAAAAGTAATCTCAAAATGATAAATTATCAAGTAATTTATATATAAACATGCGGGCACACACACACACACATATATATATATATATATATATGTGTGTGTACACTCAAGATAGATAGATTAGATTAGACTGAATTACTTTTCTTTTGTAACAAATGATTAAAGGGGTCATATGATGCGATTTCAATTTTTCCTTTCTATTTGGAGTGTTACAAGCTCTTGGTGCATAAAAAAGATCTGTAAAGTTGCAAAGACTAAAGTCTCAAAGAGATATTCTTTATAAAAGTTAAGAGTCAACCACACCTACCTAAAACGGTTCGTTCTAACACGCCCCCACATGTCTACGTCACGATGTAGGAAGATTTGCGTAACATCACCCAAATGTTCACGCAAAGAAAAGGCATTCTCGCTGTAGTATTGTTGCTGCCGCCGCCATGTCGTGGAGACGCTGTGTGTTTTGTTATTGAAGCGAAAATACTTTGTTTGGCCTTCCAAAAGAAGACACAACTAGAAATCAGTGGTTAAGTTGTATTTACAACACTGTTCC